CACCATTTGGTCTTTATGAATTTATTCGCATGCCATTTGGTCTACGAAATGCTGCACAGACTTTCCAAAGGTTTATCGATCAAGTCCTTAGGGCGCTCGACTTCGCCTATGTCTACATTGACGATATTCTTGTGGCCAGTGGGCATCTGTCACATCGATGTTCGAGCGCTTTGCTCAATATGGCGTTACGATCAATCCTGACAAATGTGTTTTTGGCCAAAGTTCTGTTGATTTTTGGGTCACCGAATTGATTACAACGGCATTAGTCCACTCCGACAAAACACAAGCGATTGCAGATTATCCCATGCCGCAATCCTTCAAAAGTCTACCTCGTTTTCTCGGCATGGTGAAGTACTACAGCCGTCTCATACCAGATTGCTCTGGGCTACTCCAGCCATTGACCGAAATACGAAAGTTCGAGCCCACTCAAGAAACTACTGATGCATTCGACAAGATCAAGCACGCGTTGTCCAACGCTACCGCGCTTAGTCATTTGAGGACTGATGTTGACGCCACTCTGATCCTCAAGACTGATGCATCTCAGACCGCCGTTTGGGCTGTTCTCCAGCAGGTAATCAATGGCCAACCACAGCCGCTATCATTTTTCTCTCGCAAACTTCAGCCAACACGGACGCGATACAGTACCTTTGGTCGAGAACTTTTAGCTATCTACATCGCTATCAAACATTTTCGGCAGTTGCTTGAAGGTCGCACGTTTATCATACTCACAGACCATAAGCCACTTGCTTTTGCTTTCCGTGGTTCACCCGACCGTTTCTCCCCCAGAGAAATTCGTCATTTGGATTATATCTCACAGTTTTCGACCGACATTCGCCATGTTGATGCTGCCAATAACGTTGTCGCCGACGCCATTTCTTCACGAAGTTTGACGGCAGACGATTAACTTAGGAGACGTAGCAGCTCATCAGAAAGGAGATCCTGAGTTTGTGCAACTGAGATTAAATCCATCGATCAGAATATCACAGCTGCCAATCCTTAACTCAGATTCCAAAATTTACTGTGATATTTCTACCGGTAAGCCCCGGCCTTTTGTCCCTCAGCAATACCGCTGAATCGTCTTTGACCACCTGCATGGAATTTCACACCCGAGCCACTGTCAAGCTGATTACCGATCGCTTCATTTGGCATAACATGCGCTCCGAGAACCAGCAGTGGACCAAACACTGTATCACTTGCCAAACTAGCAAGATCCACCGTCACACGATTACCGTCCCCGGCACGTTTGCTCTTCCCGACGCTCGTTTCAAACATGTTCATCTTGAGATCGTTGGACCCTTGCCTTCATCTAATGGTTTTGTCTACTTATTGACATGTGTTGGTCGTTATACGCGTTGGCCACTTGCCGTGACTTTAAGTGATGCTTCTACAGCAACTGGAGGGAACATTAATTGAGAATTGGATTTCCGTCTTGCACGTCAGCCATTATTACTACCGATAGAGGGCCCCAATTCAATCCAGCCTTGTTTCGGGACATGAACCGCCTGCTCGGTTGTTCCCACCTACGAACAACCGCCCATCACCCAGCTGCTAATGACATCGTTGAACGTTTCCATTGCCAACTTAAAGTCGTAATTACTGCTTCGCATTCGAACTCATAATGGTCAGAACATCCACTGATTATCTTGCTTGGTATTCGTAACACCATTAAAGAAGACATTAGCTGTTGTCCCGCGGAGTTGGTCTTTGGCACTACTTCCTGGAGAAATGGTGCTAGACTCAAGCGTTACTGGAGAAGTTCACCCGACCTTGCACGTCACACATCTGAGGCAATACTTCAGTTCGATTCGTCCAACACCACTTCGAATCAGTCAACAGGTACACCCGGATTTGCACACTTGCCCTTTCGTTCTCGTGTGTGTCGATTCGGTCCGTAAACCTCTGACACCGCCTTACGAGGGCCTTTTTAAGGTTGTTTCCCGGGAAGAGATAGATAGAAATGGTTATCAGGATATCGTGGATTTGACCGCTTGAAGCCGACTTACATCAGGACGAGACCACTACCGAAACCCACGGACATTTCTGTCACCGACCACCCACCTTCCCAAGTACGCCTTCTACTCAGCCCAAGTGTGACATATCTGTTGCCTCTCCTGCACCCCAAGCATCTTACGACACAAACTCGAACTCGCATCACCGAACACGGTACGGAGGTACAGTTCTCCCTTCCAGAATACGATGACTCACAAGTATCGAGCTTTCGTGTCAGTGACTCACGCTCTAGGGGGGAGTTCTGTGGCGACTGTACATATCTTTCTTCCCACTTGTGCCTTATTATTCCCATTCCCATAATTTATTGTACAGCTTCGTTTTAACTGACCAACAACCGAAAAAAAGACTTTTCAGGTTTCGATTCACCTTTTGTTTTCGGCTACGCGTGTGTAGCTGTGGATCGGCGTCGGTCTGCTAGCTTCGTTCATCGATCATCCGATCTAACGCGTAGAATTATTGTGCCGACTAAGTCTCGTATTCCAACCGGATGGTGCGACTAACTGACGGCCTACCGAAGATCAGGTGCACCATATATACTTTATAGACTGGGAGTTCTTTTTATGTAGTTAAGCTCTTTTAGTTTGGGCTTTCCATTACAAGCCTTTTAAGAAGAAGCACTTCAACGCCTGCAAGGCGTTCTGCAAGGGAACACTCCATGATGCTGCCCACGACGAATTTGAACAGAAATGAGAAAATTAAGAATCCCCGTAAAAAAGCGTCACTTGCTGTCGGATAGACACCAGGCAAGTTACCGATCCTAACGCGGCCTGTAGTGTTTAACAAGAAACAACAACAACAGCAGTACATCAGCCATCTGAACTGATGCTTCGTTGCCATACAACCACAATGAACTATGAAATAAAGAATAATAAGAGGGAGAGAAGAGGAACTTACCTAAAAACCTTAACGCCCTAAGCAAACATTTAGGGTCAAGATGTCCGCACCTTGTGTAGACAACATACCGTCACAAACAGTATCTCTCAAGGTGCCCACAGGCACCACCCACTATAGTTCAATGGGTCAAGGAGGTGAGCAAACCGTCGAACCACGTTAACGTCCAGTCTCGTTGCGACCGATCCAGTCTCGTTGCCTGCAGTGTTTAAGTATATGGAACGTGATATGTTCACATATTTCCTGGGAACACTTTCCGCACAAGTATTGCGAACTTACGCAAAGGAACCTGTAACGTAAGCACAAGCAGATTTACAATGAAAGAGTTGCAAGAAAGATCTGCCAAACAAACTTCAGTAGACTGAAGTCACTCTAGCAAACATCTGCGGATCGGAAGCGGATAAAGTCAAGCACCACTTGGTTTCTATACACAATCACAACTGTAAGTTGAGTCGAGGAAGGGCTAATCATTACCAACAGAGCTTCGAAAGCTTCGTCTACCGATTGAAACATGCGGGTACGCAAAACGTCAAGTGCACAGCTAACACCCAGCCTCCTCAACCAACGAAGCGATCATACGTAATTAGTGCATAGCCAGACAGATTTACTTCACTATCCGTAATGTCCTGAGAGCCGCGTTCCAGTGAATGCGAGTATATTGGGATAAGACCCATTTACAAGCAGACCAAAGGCTGCGCACATTGCTGAGCACTAGCTGAAGGCACTTGCAACCTCAAAACCTGGATCGTGCGCTACCAGAACGGAAACTAATACGGGAAAGAGGACCGCCTGTTGACCACCCGAAAATCCACTAACCAGAGACTCTGTTTACCGGCCGCTCGCCTGCTTGTGAGGTCCTTGATGACTTCTTTTAGCTCCACTTCATCCGCTAGCAAAAGACCTGACTGACTGCTAACATTAGTACCCCACGGTTTGAAAGCATACCGGAACAGCGCGTTGCGTTCCCCCGGGGTGGATAGGATTACACGAAGTAAGCGCGGTCGTGGACCTGGAAAAGTAACTGGAACCTTGCTCAGTCTAGTCCTTTTCCTGACAGTAACACCGGGTAACCCAGGCAGAAGTAGCTTCTTTAAGCACAGTTAAACCACTGTAGATCGTCCAACGTGCATGCAGCAGGAAGTGCGGCAGTAGATTCCACTGCGTTACGGAATATCTCGCTGCTATACATGAAAGAATCATCTCGACGGTATTTACCATAAGGGTTTTTGGATTTACGTGAACAGCAGCCGGCTTAGCCGCAGGCAATGAGACTAGGCGTATCATATCAGACAACGCTAAACCAACTGCAGCATACCTCGTGCTCCAGTTCGTTTGACTCGTCATTCTTGATGCTCTCTAACCTCACCTGAAGAATATGGGCAGCTTCGTTCTGTTTTGTCCAATGAGCAAATTTTCAGGGGAAATCAAAGTCAAAACATAACGGCAGCACTTTCCAATTCCTATTCTTATCTACTGCTGCCAGTTAGTGAATGTTTTGGCAGCATTCGATATTGAAGGAACCTAGGAACCATTTGCAGTGCTCCAAAACACCATTTTTGAGGGAGGAAACATACGCTGCACGAGTTACTGGAACGGGATAACAATGAGGCAGTGATAAACAATGTTAGACACTGTTTTTGCATCTGCATAAGACATTTTCTAAGACTTTATGGCACTCGTTTCTACACACCGATTTTACTCTGATATCGTACGAGAACCGGACATCCAGAAATACTGAACGGGACGGAAATCGGTCATTTAACCGGCTCAGCAAGAATACGTGGGCATTAATTGGTTGGACAGAATGTGGTGCGGTTTTCGTTTAAGGTCTATCAGTATTTCAATGTCTGCCAACTCCTGGTTCAACGACCAGGTGAAAAAGGAACACCCACGGGATATCCCTATCATTGCAGTCCCGCTTGAACTTGACCCTCCAGTGGCACTATCAGGGATTGTCCCAGCTGCCAATGAAAGGCTAAGCTTGAGGTGACTGGAAACATGACGTAAGGTTAGGTCAGGTCCAGTGACGATAGGGGCTTTTGCTTAACGAGCGTCTTGTTTCTTGTGCCAGTGTATGAACAAGAACACCCGGCACCGACCTGAAAACGGAAGATGGTTGCTCGAACGACACCGCAGACAAAATGGAAAGATAAAGAACTGGAAATGATGGCACACAAGAGTAAAACGGACGACATGTTACACGTTGACCTGCCGCAGACATTCCCTGGTGTACTTTAGTGGGACGATGGGGAAAATTCGGAAACGTACTGCCGCAACCTAGATAGACTGCGACTAACAAGTCATTTGTGTGTTAACGTTGTATGGTGTAGATTGCTAAAAATTTATATCTGTATGTGTCGATTTGAAATCATATACCTATATGGTGATTTAAAAATCGGTGTAATTTTACGTAAAGTTTGTTTTGTTAGGACAATACCTAATTTCGTTGTATTGAATTTAGATGTTGGCACGAGATTTTGCCTCTGCTATGGGACGTAATATTTAACTATGCGTACTTTATGTATATCTTTCGATGGTTGCTTATCCTAACCAAACTCGAAATATCGCTTGAACCGTCGTTTTACCTTTTCATGTTTGCTTATTTATGTATTTAATGCGTTTAGTTCGTTTTCCACATGCATTTACATTAATGGTTGAATTGCACGTACGGATACATCAATTCCATTTATTGTGGCACTTAGTTTTAGTGCGGTTTGGGTGGCTACCTCGTCATCTGTTTTCCGAATACTAACTTTCCCTCTGCTTCAGTAGCGCAGGTGTAAAATTTGAGATAGCAACCATTTTACTTAGCAACAAGAAAACGGCTAGGCTTTTCGAATGTCATTATGTAGGTAGTTATGCCGTAATGTTTATTAAGGAAATTGAAAACTTGGTATATAGTACGCAGTTATTTACGTTAATTGGCAGACATAATTGTTTGCTTCATAAGGGTTGTGCTTGTTAAGACGTCCTTAGGTGCTACTATTACGAAGTAACTGGAATTTTCGGTTCGGTAGTTATCGTGTTTTTTCGTTGGACTATCTTGGAAATTCGAAACTGTCAAATTTTCACTGGGCTAATGCTAATTAGTTGGATTTATTGAACATGTCAGGAGCGTGTATTTCACGCTTGCTGGTAACCCTTTGGATTTTCGCTATGTACTAACTCGCTTAACACAGTTCTTTCTTATCGTTATTTTTCCTTGTGTAGTGTTAGCTTTATGCTGTTTCCCACTGTTTAAATTCCTCTCGTTTTACACTGGCAAGTGTAACGGATAGGGCTACTTGCGGAAGCGCATGCTGTGCTTTGCTAATTTTAGTGGCTTGCAGGGTGTACATTTTAACCCCTGGTTTCACCAACACTACACGAATCAGACTGCCCAAAATTACCCTTGCTCTCTGGTAGCGATATTGCTTCTTTTTATGTGCATAACTTGTCGTGGTCGCAGGAGTGTCGTCTGGGTTGCCTTAGTAGAGAAGTCGAATCTCTAGAGACCAGCTTACAATGTTTGGAAAACTTACGAACAGTGGACCACCGTGAGCACCATACTTGATCGCAAGGTCGTCTGGTTGAAACATGAGCTTGTGGATTTAAGTGATTTTAGTTTGATAAAGCCAAGCAGACAGCTCAGCTCCGTTTGTCAAACGGCCTTGCCCATCAGCTTGTCAACAGCAGTTATAGTGACAAGGCTGGATGCCGAAGCGACTTCTGTAAGCATTTCTGCTCTACCCAGAACGCCGCTTAGTACATTTGAACAAACCTGCTAACTTGCGGCGAAAGTAGGCTCAAACCACGCGTACGACCGCTGCCAAGGACGCACCTAATACTGTATGGCTGTGGCTGAAAAGCGCCAAATCTCGTCATTGCGTGCTAAGCATACTGAAGATGTAACTACCCAATCGTCCCACCGTTTTAATCCAAGGTACAGTTCCCGCAGGCGGACACTGATATTTAGCCTCCGGAAAGTTCGACCGAAAACGAAGTAGCCAACACAACGGAACTGCCTGTAATATTCACCTCAGTTTGGAGAGGGTCAAGAAGACGAGTCAAAGGAACTGGAGCACGAGGTATGCTGCAGTTGGTTTAGCGTTGTCTGATATGATACGCCTAGTCTCATTGCCTGCGGCTAAGCCGGCTGCTGTTCACGTAAATCCAAAAACCCTTATGGTAAATACCGTCGAGATGATTCTTTCATGTATAGCAGCGAGATATTCCGTAACGCAGTGGAATCTACTGCCGCACTTCCTGCTGCATGCACGTTGGACGATCTACAGTGGTTTAACTGTGCTTAAAGAAGCTACTTCTGCCTGGGTTACCCGGTGTTACTGTCAGGAAAAGGACTAGACTGAGCAAGGTTCCAGTTACTTTTCCAGGTCCACGACCGCGCTTACTTCGTGTAATCCTATCCACCCCGGGGGAACGCAACGCGCTGTTCCGGTATGCTTTCAAACCGTGGGGTACTAATGTTAGCAGTCAGTCAGGTCTTTTGCTAGCGGATGAAGTGGAGCTAAAAGAAGTCATCAAGGACCTCACAAGCAGGCGAGCGGCCGGTAAACAGAGTCTCTGGTTAGTGGATTTTCGGGTGGTCAACCGGCGGTCCTCTTCCCCGTATTAGTTTCCGTTCTGGTAGCGCACGATCCAGGTTTTGAGGTTGCAAGTGCCTTCAGCTAGTGCTCAGCAATGTGCGCAGCCTTTGGTCTGCTTGTAAATGGGTCTTATCCCAATATACTCGCATTCACTGGAACGCGGCTCTCAGGACATTACGGATAGTGAAGTAAATCTGTCTGGCTATGCACTAATTACGTATGATCGCTTCGTTGGTTGAGGAGGCTGGGTGTTAGCTGTGCACTTGACGTTTTGCGTACCCGCATGTTTCAATCGGTAGACGAAGCTTTCGAAGCTCTGTTGGTAATGATTAGCCCTTCCTCGACTCAACTTACAGTTGTGATTGTGTATAGAAACCAAGTGGTGCTTGACTTTATCCGCTTCCGATCCGCAGATGTTTGCTAGAGTGACTTCAGTCTGCCGAGTTTTTGTGCAGGTTTTTGCATTTCGTCGGAAGTAATCGCGGTTTAATTCTACATTAGCTTTCGGTGCACATACCCCGGTTTTACTTTTTGGACCAGCGTAGCAAACACATGAACGCCCAGAGTTTGAGCTACGTTTTGTCTGCCTTTTGTATTCAATTATTTTTGTCTTTTTTATTTGCTTGTTAATTGTGCTTGGCCACCTTATTTACTGTATCAGAACTTTTGTGGTAAAGATAGCAGTGTGTATGTTTGCGTAGGCTTTTGATGCATTTCGTCTTGGGTTTTGGCCCGCAGGCTAGGTCTTTTTACCGTTGCTCGTTTCTATCCAGGTTAACAAATTTCGTATGAGCTCAAGGTATCTTCGCTTCATTTTGCTGCTGGCATAATACTGAGGATGTTTGTAGAAATCGCTTGGACCTAATTGTTCTCTGCTCTTTGTCTATTTTGTTGCTACTGCCAATTCAGCAGGCTACGTGTTCCATCTTTCCTATAGGATGTACTTTCACAACTTCCGTTTATCTGCTCGGTGGATTGGAGTTCCCTCATTTCTCTAACCAGTTAAATCTACGCGTGGTCCATTCTTCGTCCTTGCGTGCCTTTGCGAAACGAAGGAATGCCGCTTTAGGTTAGCAGAATGTCCAGGCTCGCCCGCCCTGCCTCGTTCCGGACGAAGTGAAATACGAGGTAGCTTTACTCGTAGGTACCAATTTGTTTTAGAGGTTACGGGGGAACCGTATCATGTGCATCTACTTAGCTTGTATTGGTATTCAACGCACTACCAACTACTTTGAGGTGGTGTAAGCCTTACTTACCTTCAATGCCTCAAACATTCCGATTCTCCAATCACCTGGAGCTTTTCTGATGTCATTTCACGGACAGCATTGCGCGCGTATAAGCGGCTTTTCCGATGATCTTTCATGGAGTTCTCACTTGGCCATGGAGACCATTACACTTACATTTGAAGGAATTACTAGTCCACTTTGCGGAGAATTGCATCTTTCATGTTATGGACATATTCAGACACAAGAAACAACTGCACTCACCGTCCCTATGACAAGTCCAGCATGGATAGCTGGACACGGGTTGCGAGCCGGACAATATAATAGAAAAAGCCGGCCTCTATTAACAATGTGGTTACTCACCCGCATCATTGTCATTCGACTCAGCGAATCTTTTACATCATTGACTGGCTTCAACGACAATTGCCGGTTCAGTACTAAGCCATTTGGCAAACCAAGGAAGAATTTTGGCTGTCAACCGACTGCGAATAATAGAGTGCAAAATCGGTCTATACGGTGCATAGCCGACTAGCACTACAGTTCAATGGAATCTACGACAGTGTTCCAGGACGTGGTGGGTTTTCGCCTGGCAAACGTTCTCCCTATAAAAAGCCACAAATGTCCGCTTAACAACACTGCAACTTGGCGGATGTGACTCGCCACAAAATAAAGTCACTGCTATACCTTTCACACTGACGCAGTCCTCAGCCTCCTACATCCAACCTGTGCAACTAATTCTGCTATGAAGAATGCTTTAGTGCAGTACAGATCATTCCGGCTTCGTAATGGTCATTGGTTGCACTAAACCTTGTTTGGGCTCCTGTGCTCATGAATCACTACATGGCAAATTTACCCCCCACTTGTATCTTGACGCAACAGTTTTTGCGCGCCACAGCGCCATCATGGTCCTTGATCTGACTATTACCTGACAATATGCTCGCTCATATGAACTACATCTTTTCGTTTATTCCTTTCATTGTAACGAAATGTTTTAATATTCCAAAGAAGCTATGCTTGTATGCATATTTGATCATGCCTTTAGAGGCGTGTCTCGTTTTACAGAGAATATACCAATTACTTATTTATTCATTATTGAGCGTACCATTTTATCCATTTTCGTTGTCTTGCCTTCGCGGTCATTCCACGAATCTACACAAGCCGCGAACCGCCAGTATCAGGTCGGAAACTTGCTTATCGCATGGAGTTATTGAGCGCTGGAATGAGCTTCAAGAAAATGTAGTCAATGTACCTGCGGTTTAGGGTTTCGAGCGCCAGGTAGACGCCATTGGGTGGTAGCCCGGACCATTTCCCGTCTCCTGACCATGTCTATCTCAGCTTGGGGTTCATGTTCTGTGCGTTTTCTCCCGCATTGGTAGTATTCTTTATTTAAACGACCCCTTCAACTTTAGCTT